GCAAGATGCTAAAAAGCTAAATGATAAGTAAACAAAGCAAAATGCCATCTTAAAGTAACAAAACACTTGCTAGCTTCAGCAAAAGGCAAGCTAAATGCTAAAATTAGTTAAGTTTATTGATTTTCTTTAAAAATCAACAACATAAATTCAACAAACAACAAAAATACAAATCATAAATTACATGAAAGCTAGCAGAAGAAGGATAAATCTTATATCTGCCCCTTTTTCTCAAAGAAATAAATTCAATCAAAAATAATCTTCATTGGCTAAATAAATGTAGCAAATGAAAAGCTGAAAATAACAAGGGGCTAGCCAAAAGCTGAAACATCAAGAGGGTGTGAAAGCTAAAAGGTACAGTGGATAATAATTAGCTCAAGCAAAAGGCTAGATAAATACCAAAAGTAAAAATATGGTAGCTATGTTGTTTAATAGCTAAACTAAAGAAAATGCTAGCCAAAAGCAAAAAAAGCAAACTTAAATCTAAAAGTGACAAAATGAAAGTACCAAAACACAAGCTGAAAGTAGAAAGCTAAAGCATCAAAAGGGTATAAAAGTTAAAAATAGCAATTTTAGTAGCAAAAGGTTACGTAAATGCTAAAAGTAGCAAAAAGAAGGAAAAAACTAGGTCAATGCAAAAAAGTTTAATAATGAAAAAAAGCAAAACAGTAAAAGCAGTAAAATAGTAGCTAAAATATTTTTACTCTAGCTAGAAGCTTAATGTAGCTATGAAACAGCGTGGTTAAAGCTAAAAATAGTACATATTACCAAAATACGGAAAGTATCTGATGTTAGCTGGAAGGTAAAAAAAATAGTTAAATGTTATGAAATTGCTGGAAGTAATAAAAGTCTACGGCTAACAGCTAAAAGTAGAAAGTAGACCAAACCAAAGGCCATAACAGAAGCAGATTTTAAACAGAACAACTGAATGAGCCYAATAGTTTTTATATAGAAACGGTTGAAATATCACAAAGTCTGCAGAAGTAAAAGRAAAACAACTAAAAACAGTGTGAATGCTGACTCAGCATTCCTGTTATTTAATTTATTGTAAATTATTGCTCAGGGGCAGTTTAGTTTATTTTTCTCTGAGGTGTGAATAATACAATGAAACCGGGGGTAAAGTAAATCTTTATTTCTCCCTGACTTGTTTTCCTTCCTCTCGGTTCCAGAGTGRTCTCGGAGCAGAGGTCTTCATGGAGGCGGCCGCCTGGCTGCGTGTGAAAAAGAGGAGAAGACACAGGAAGCGAGTGGCAACAGAAAGCCAGAGTGAGACCAGGGACAGGAATAGTTGAGGGTGTGTAAGCTCCACTCTCACCACTGGCACGCAGCAGGAAGCAGCCCAGCAG